TATTTCATATTTAGTAAAATTCTCACAAATCACACTACGAATCTTCGGTTGGTTTGAAACCAACATGCATGTGATCTGCACACTCGGATCCGCACATGTATGCACCGATTCGTCCCAACCAGCCATGCATGCGATCCACGCACTCGGATCCACACTCACATGCATCATTTTGTACCGAACAGCCATGCATATGATCCGCACACTCGGATTCACACTCGCATGCAACATCTCATCCTGCACCAAAACGTTAGCACACAATTTACTGGGACTCACTGTTTTTCGAATGGAGGTTCTCTAGGCTCGATCCTTCCCAACGGTTGGTGCTAGAGCTTGAACGACTCGATCTTCGGAGCTACGGATAGAAACCAACTCAAACACTAGGGATGAACGGATCTTAAGCTTAAACCAACCGAAAACACTAGAACTGAACTTGATTCTACGGGAAAAAACTTCGATCCAAGCCAAAGATCAAGAAAATCGCTAAGGGTAATTCTCTAGAGGTTTGGGCAGAGTAAGGGTAGAAGAAAATGGGGTTTGTGTCGAAAATGAATGGGTAAGGGTAGTATTTATAGGCGACAATCCGAGATTCTCGACCAAAACACTACCCAGCGCTTTTCGTACACGTGGCAAAAAATTTCTTTTACCCGCCGATCACGCGTCTTACAACACGCTCTGTCTCTGACAACACGCTACCCCCTCGATCAGAACGCTACCCCTCGATCAGAACACTACCCAATCTCAATAACACGCTACCCTTCTCAATCATAATCGTACCCGACTCGAGCCGAACGCCTATGACTTGATCAGAACACCTACGGACTCGATCAAAACGCTACCCGTATAAGAAGGACACGTGGCAGATTATTTCTGCGACTTACCCACGCCGAGCGTCTTGACCACGCGCTTACCCGTGTCGACTAAAACTACTTGCGACACGCGCTGATCCGTGTTATCTCGACCCGCGGTACAACTTCCCTACCCGCGACACAACATCTTCGATTCGTGACACGACGGACTTACCCGTGGTACGTACTGATTTGATCGCGGCGCGTAGAAACTTAACCTGCGAAGCATTTTCTTCATAAAATCTGATCTACTCGATGGAATTTGGATTTTCTACGACCAAAATCCTTCTAAGGACTTCCCCAATCCTTTTCAAAAATGAATTTCTTCGAAACCACAAACTTGAAGGTCGTTGACCGTTGACTGTTCTTGGGTATAATCGGGGTTTTTACAATGGGCCACATCACC